TAAGTTGCTTGCACATTTTGAACAAGAAAATCTTCCTGTTGGAAGATAATAATGAATTAATAACCAATAGTTTGTTTAGTCGTTGAATGTCACTAATTTAATACCTGAAAAGTTCAGGGAAGTAAACAATCATTCATCTCAAGTATATATTTGCCCAGTTTCTGCACTAATGGAAGCTAGGCTTTCAAAGAAAACAGTCATTGGAGAAACATCACATGTGATCATTCGGTAGTGCTTGGAGAACAACCATACCTTTCGAGCATTGTCAATTATAAAGTTGTGGTTTTTTCCCGACATGGAGGAGTTATTCACGAAGTTTATATTATCAAGTAAAATTTTAAGTTATCCAACAAAGAAAAGGGTTATAAATCTGTCATCTTGCTGGTTTTATGGAGTTGACGAGTCCCCAATATTTTTTGCCATAATTGTTTTCTATCAATTGCTCCTAATGCATATTCCTTTTGCCTTTTCATTTCACTTTGTGTTGCATGTACTTCAATGTCTAATTGCTACAGCTGTAATGAAAGTCTTGTCCAAGTGTGTGATTTCAATCTCCTTGAACTGATACCTTTGCAGGAAACGCATAAAATGGTGACAATTGCAGAATACCGATTGCCGGAGGCCAAGCCCGGTACTCCAATGTACTTCGACTTCCCTAGAGAGATACAAACGCGTAGGATTTTATTTAGACTGCTCGGGGATGTGGCCGCATTTGCTGATGACCCAGCAGAACAGGATGACTCAGGTTTCAGAGCTGGTCCATTGGCAACAGGATTGTCTCTGTCAAACAGGATTAAGTTGTACTATCTTGCCGAGCCTCATGAGTTGGGAAAATGGGCTAGCCTCTCAGCTGTGTGAATTTACACTTCTCCAATTGATTTTGGTTTGCCAATATTTTTTGTCTTACCATTTTGCTTTTTTTTTTTTTTTTTTTTTACTTTGTATAATATTGTAATGTAACAATATTATTTAAAATTTATTCGTGTAGCCACATCGACCTTTGTAGGACAGGAGCAGGCCATCAACTACTTCATATCGATTTTGGGAAGGTAACTGTGAGATGTAAATTTTTGTTTTACTTTATAGACAAATGAATGTGAAGAGCCTGCATTTATGTTTGAAATTATTCTAAACTGTGTTGTTGGATTAAAAGTCTATTCAATTCTTAGATGTTGTACTTGATATAAAATTTAGCTGTAATTTATATATTTGATAAGTAACTGGATAATCGTTATTTATACTTTCAATTATGTATTTGATATATAACTAAATTAATTTTTTTAATATCTTAAATTCTATAATAATGAATTTATACTACTAATTAATCATAGAATTACAAAAATATTTAATTTTTACTACACATAAAATCGAGTTAAAATTATTTTGATATCTTTATCTAATCTTTTTTCCCCACTTTATAATGTATTTCCTGTTTTATTTCATAAATATGACTTTGATCTAAGATCATCTTTTCGTAAATTAGTTTTATTCATGAAATAAGGTCCAGGTCCCAGAACATGGGCAAACATTTTTTTTCCTAACATTTACGCTACACTTTACTTCAATCTTTATTTCTATTTTTATGTTAATTTTACTATGCGTAAATATAATTTAATTTATAGCATTTAATTATTCTTATTCTCTTGAAATTAAAATTCTATTGCTTCTTTCAAATTAATTATTTAAATTATTATTAATAATTTAATTTAAATTACAAGGGCCCGAACATGGTACAAGCGCGGCCTGCCGAACTCGGATGCGTCAGCATGGGCCTAACTCATCCAAGCCAGGGGCCTCAAGCTGGTCCTGGAAGCTCGTGTGGACAAAACCACACGAGATCAGAGCCTTTACTACGAAATTACGAAAATGCCATTGATGCAGCAAGCAACTGAAGCAATTAACAAAACCCTAGCTATCACTTGTCAAAAGAATCTCAGCCGTTGATTTATGTCTCTCTAGGGTTTAATACCGCGCTCTTTTATACCTTCTCTCTCCCTGCATTGACAGAGCCGTCTCGCCCTCTCTCCGTCTCCCTCTCTGTCTCAGATCGAGCTCTCACAATGGTGAGTTTCTCTCCACCTAATTCAGTCATGCATTGTATGCAGATGCTGATTTGCCGACTTAGAGATTCTAGTTGCACTATCTTCATTTTAGTGATACATTACTCGCTATGTTGTGGATTGGAAACTGGGGAAAGGAGAAAATGAATCGCTTTTTATTGAATTGTTTTTAGTAGATCGATTTGGTAGTTTTCTTCTTTTTTTTTTTGTTTAGTTTTTTAGTGAAGTTGGTAGCAATCCGCCGTGCGGATTCTAGATTGTGCTTGACTTTGCTGCTCTATGGCTTATGTTCTTGGTCTGTATTATGCGATTTGTGGTTAAAGATATTGAAAGATCATCCCTCCGGAATCGATGCCGTGCAGTTACTTCCTATTGAATCGTTTTTAGTGAATCACTTTTAGTTCAAGCTCAGTTATATACATGCGGTATACGCGTCGATATTTGTGAAAGTTGTTCTCAAAATATGTGTGTCGTTTATATTGTATTATATTATATTTATCTATATATCTGAATATGTTGAGTTCTACTGGGTACATTTATTTGTATAGATTGTTTGTTCTCTGTTTGTCGAAGTCTCTATTGGTATGTTGTTTTGGCTATAGAATAATTTTATCAAAAAGAGCTGACTATTTCCAATTTTTTCAATTTCTAAAAGCATGTAAGGATTACTGATTATTGCTTTTAATTTAATAGTGAAGCTTAAAACCATGTGATTATTGTTTGTTTTGCAACACAAAACAATTTCCTATCTGACATATGAATGCTGATTTCAAGACTTATGGGATACTTTTTTGTTAGAATAGAAATGTGCATGGTTTTTGTCCTTTATTTCAATCAGTGCTCATGACACTACTTTATCTTCAGGCCTTTGTCAAGGCTCAGAAAACGAAGGCATACTTCAAGCGGTACCAGGTCAAGTTTAAGAGAAGGAGAGGTACTATATTTTCATCTCTTTAATGTGATTTCGGTTTACTTGAGCTTTTTTCTAATTTAATTTACTTGCAGAGGGGAAGACTGATTATAGGGCCAGAATCCGCCTTATTAATCAAGATAAGAACAAGTACAATACCCCAAAGTACCGGTTTGTTGTGCGATTTGTATCCTTAAGTTAATCTGAGTATTATTATTGGCAATTCTGATTTTAATCTGTTTATTATCTTCATATGATGACATTGTAAAAATAATAATTACTATCGTTCATACTTAAATTCTATCTTCATTATGAATAGTAAGCAGGAGATGACGCTGTATTGGAGGGTCTCCTTCCCTCCTACATTTATATGATTTTTCATTCTATGTGACCTTTTTTTACTCTGCTTGCCCTTGGCTTCTATGTGTTCAATGTTGAATTACCATGCTTCTTTCTGATTTAGACAGGCAATGTGCCTCAATCCTTGACCATTTTATCAGTCTAACAAAGATATCACTGCACAAATTGTATCCGCCAGTATTGCTGGTGATATGGTTCTTGCTGCTGCTTATGCCCATGAGCTTCCTCGTTATGGGCTTGAAGTTGGTCTTACAAACTATGCTGCAGGTATACTATCTCTGGGTTTGTTTAAACTATCCTCAGTAATTCATTCTCCCATTCTTTTTCTTACTTTTGCATTTGAAATTATGATCAGCCTATTGTACTGGGCTTCTTCTGGCCCGCCGGCTCCTGAAAATGCTTGAAATGGATGATGAATATGAAGGCAATGTAGAGGTATGAAGAAATAACAATATAGCTTTTCTCTTGATTTAGGCATGAAAAAATTGAACCCATGTCTTACATGTAAGTGCCTCATTATTAGTTTTGTTTGCAGTTGAGGGGTTTGCATTTTAGTTGAATCTACTAGTATTAATTGATTGGTTCCATTTAGTGAAGGTTATCCATTGCGATATTTTTCTCATGTGTCTTAATTTTAAATGTGGCGATTGGCTCTAATGGATGATTTTAAAATTTTGACTTTGCTTGAATGACTTAGTTTATTGCTAATCTTGATATGCATGTCATTTTAGTAAACAACAATTATCTGCTTTTAAGATTCAGATATCTAAGGAATGTGTTAACAGGCTACCGGTGAGGATTTCTCTGTCGAGCCTACTGAGACCAGGAGGCCATTCCGTGCTCTCCTTGATGTTGGACTCATCAGAACTACAACTGGAAATCGTGTTTTTGGAGCCCTCAAGGTATCTCAGAATTGCTTAGTGTAGCTTTATGATGCATGGTTTAACTTTAAAGTATATTGTGGGTCCATAATTGAAGTTTTTAGTCACATCATCATCACTACTTGCTAATTTCAGGGTGCATTGGATGGTGGGCTTGATATTCCTCACAGTGACAAGAGGTTTGCTGGCTTTTCAAAGGAAAGCAAACAGCTTGATGCTGAGGTTCATCGCAAGTATATCTATGGTGGCCATGTGGCTGCATACATGAGGGTTAGTGTTGGTTCTTTAATCAGCATTTGGCACTACTCATGAAGTTAGCTTTTGTTATATTATTTGCCCTTTCTAAAATATGCATCCAGTGTAACAAGTTTACTGATTTTTTTGTTCCAGACCTTGAAGGAAGATGAGCCTGAGAAGTATCAGTCTCATTTCAGTGAATACATCAAGAAAGGAATTGAGGCAGATGACATTGAAGCCCTTTACAAGAAGGTGCATGCTGCCATCCGTGCAGATCCAACAGCAAAGAAATCAGAGAAGCAGCCACCCAAGGAAATCAAGAGGTGCGGTTCATGCCTTGGGTCTATGCTTTTTTTTTTCTATGGCCTGCCTTGTCTTCCAATAGCCCAATGTTATTATCCATGAAAAATACATGAAGAATTTTTTTCTAAAGAGAAATATAGCCCGTTTCTCCTTAAATATAGGCTCCTTCACCTATTACTGGGTAGTTCTGACATCACGGTATAGGATCTCTTCATGGGTTCTATTATGTGTGTTTCGAAAGCACTATACGTTGCAGTAATTTTTTAAAATTTCATAGTAATTTACCAATTTCTGTATAATCACGTAACTTTGTGCCGTAACTGGAATACAATGTTGCATGAAATACAAAAGTTGTTGTATCACTATGAAACTTAAAAAAACTATCGAGGAGGCATGTTAGCTTATAAGTACCCAGAATTTTCCCTCAACTGCTTTGTACTGGTTGTATTCTTGTAGCTGCTCTGCTGACTCCAAACATTATGTTTGAATTACAGGTTCAACCTGAAGAAGCTCACATATGAAGAGAGGAGGGCGAAGTTGATTGAACGGGTGCAGGCCCTTAACAGCGCAGTTGAAAGCGACGACGAAGATTGAAGAGTGCAATTGCTAGGGTTAAGAAAGGATATTTTTACTCCAGCACGAAGCTGCATTCTTTCAGTTTTGTTTAAACCTGTTAAATTTTCAAATATTTTAGTTTATTTTTGGGTAATATTTCTGCCATTTGGGTTTTCTATTTTTCTAGATGACAAGAAGATTTTGGAACATTAGCTCGGTATTAAATGCAATTTTAATTTTCTGTTTCTTAGTCCCTTAACATTGCCATTGTTGGTTACCCCTGACAAAACTAATCCTTTTAAGAGCAAAGATTTGAGCAAGTTTTCGAGGGATCAGAACGGAATTAAGGGTCTGTGTGGGAGGGAACTGAGACGAAATTATGGTCATATTTGTTACTATGATAAACAACTAGATCATATGTTTTACAGAGTTATGTCTATATAACAGTTTCTATTGAAGTCTAAGTAGTAGAATCAATTTACATTAGTAAATTATTAGTGTCTTGATTACTGAGTGGTTTTTTTTCTCCAGGAGATCTTAACTGGGTTTGGCATGTAATTTTTCTCTCATTTTTTCTCTTTTTTTCTTCTCTCTTTTACATATAATTTTTTTACATGTGCTAATATAACACTGTTTGAATGTTTAGTTTTGTATTTTCACTTGATTTCTTTGCAACTTTAATTCAATTCTTAGAAATCCAGTTTAGAATACAAAACTTTAATGCAACCTAAAGCTATTAGAAACAAAGTTATATGGGGGTGTTAAGTCCTGTTTGGATAGTGGCAAAATTCAAGAAGGTCCCCCACCTATATAATCTTATCCAAAGCCATCCAATGAATTTCCACTTACGTACACGCTTGTCTTCCCAAACACTATCTCCTTCTTCCTTTCCATTCTGCATCACAACTTTTCTCTCCAACAACAACAAAAATAAAAATGACAATACCAACAATGAACTCATTTTCATTTGGTACCAACAAACAATCCCCAGCAAAGACTTTTACAAGCCATGGCCCATTCGCTATCCCCTGCGCCAACCCCTGCAATACCCATTTCAGCAAAATCCGATGCCATTGCGCCCTTTTCTTCCTCGTTAGGGTTTCAAAGGTTCCGGGCTTGCCAATCGAAGTCCAAGGACGTTTCCAATCATAACAAGCCAATTGTCCCTCGAAGGTAAGATAATATCGTTTCTCAGTTCTTAAATTCAAATTAATTTACATTGTGTTCGACGTACTTTATAATAAAATCTAATATATATATATTTTTACATGCAAAATTTATTTAAAAATTAATGTATATTTTAATAAAATTCTCACTAAATATAAATAAGAGAATTATAGATAGAAAACTATACTAATAACTTATTTAATTTTATTGTAGAAATTTCTGGGATCAATTATTGAACCATGCAAACTAGAAATATCTTTTTTTTGTATAAAAAAAGAGATTAATCGATCTATTTTTGTATTATTCATGATATATATATAATAACTTAGATACATATTTTGAAATGCGTATCACATTTTTGTGCTGCTATTCTCGTTGTTATAATGCCGGATGTTAAAAGTACGAGGAAATCATAAGCTAATACATAGATGAACTGCAATGTTATTGATCCTTAGGATTATATCGTTGGCCTTGACGGCTGCACTAGTGGGCTTGAATCTCGGCGGCGATGCAAATGCCGCCCGGAGGCCTCCGCCGCCGCCACCTGAGGAGAAGAAGGATCCAAATGTGAGTGGAGTTCAGGCAAAAGTACTGGCTAGCAAGAAGAGAAAGGAAGCCATGAAAGCATTCATGGCCAAGCTCAGGGAGAAAGGAAAGCCTGTATTAAACGACGCCGTAAAGCAAGACCAGTCGGCTGACTAGTTAAATGGTTGTGTGTGTATGAATGGACGTATGCTTGTATTTTTTAAAAAAATTTTAAATGAAAATAAAACAATATAAACTCTGTAATTCTGAAAATAAATTCACAGTTTAAAAATTTTAAATTTATGAAATTTTAAAAAACAATTACAAAAATATTAATTACTTATTTACCATCTTAGTTATGATTGTAATAGATGAATATGTTAATTTTTTTAATCAATATATATAGAATTCACCTATATATTAGTGTATACTTCACCTAAATATTGCTCAATATATATATATATACACACATATATATATATATATATACACTTCACCTATTTAAGTTCGTATATGCATATATATTTATACATTTGTATTATATTATACCCTTTTGATTGATTTTATTAGAAATAATTGAAATTTTTTTTTAAGTTTAAAATTGAAGCCAGATTAAGATTAAGCTAAACTTTAATTCTTTTCTTTAATGAGTTTAATTAAGCTTAAATCTTAAATAAAATTTGAATTAATTTAGAACCCAATTCCCAACACAAATTTTCTAATGTTTAATTTCTCCTCTATTTTTATTATTAATACTTTATTATTATTTGTGTATAAATGACGTCATTAAAATATATAAATATTTATTTTAAAATATATATTAAAATTTATTTTTCATAAATAAATATTTATCGAACCGATTAAGTCATTTTAAACCTGACAGTTCGCTTCCACCGGAGACAAACAGATAGAAGACATCATCACTTCATCGGAGGGAGGTATTGAGTGAGAAGCCGCCATTAGAGAATCACAAAAACTAAATCAAGGATTTCGAAAGATGATGACGACATGTTCGGTTGCATCCGGTGAAGGTCAACTCTTCCAGGCATTCAGCGGCCTACAGCAGCTAGCCGAAACGCGCCGTTTCAAGGTAACCTATGATGAACTATCTGACCCCCAATTTTTTAGTTTCCCGGAAAATAAAAAGGAATTTGAATGGTAGTCCTCCATTTCTTCTCGGTTTAACATTTCTTCTGAGCGATTTCGTTCTTATTAGTTAGAAATGATAATTGGTTGGTGCTTTCTTGGTGGGGTAGCAAGTACTTCTTACTCGTGAAAGAAGTCTACTATTTTGGATTTTAAATTGTTCGAATTATTTTGAACTGTAATTCAAATGATTTTGATATTTGAAATAAGTGCTGCGTGCTGCAAATTTTACCGTGTGTACTCTGCTAAATTTGGAAGTTAAGATTCGTATTTGTTGCATGTTATGTAATTTTGTTTTTTTCTTAAGTCAAGAGCCGTACTTGAATTGCATTTTAGTAGGAGATACCCATGACATGTCAGCCATTTATGGGATAATTACTTTATATGTAGGTTAATTAGATTACTGTTGGTTAGAAAACCAGTAATCAATCAAATAACTTCACTTGAAAGTATGAAGAGTCTGACAGTCAATTTTCCGTTGTATCTTACTAGAAAAATGACTGTCATATTGTGCTTTGAAAATATATAGAAATGTAGGTCCTAGAAGATGATTGGAACTGTAGGTTCTAATTTGAGACACAGAATTACAAGCTAACTTTAAGTAATTTATTCATTTTAGATTTGGTTTCTCTTTTTGGAAGGATAGATGTCAGATATGGAAACTCCTCAATATTGTGTATTTATGTTGGCATATGAAAATATTAGTGTGTTCTTGTCTACATGGATGTCTGACGCAATCACTTATTTTGATATTCACACAGGCATGGTTCTTGGATCAATTCGGCGTTCTTCACGATGGCAAACAACCTTATCCTGGTGCAATCTCAACATGTATGTTTTCATCTGTGGTAAGCTTTTTTCAGCTGATTCAATAAAATGTTTCCTTTCCAAGTGGTGATATAGTTTTGTTTGTTGTATTTAAAATTCTCTGTTTGGAGTCCAGTAGAAAAGCTAGCCATAACTGGTGCCAAGATGGTGGTTATAAGTAATTCTTCAAGACGTGCATCAACAACCATGGAGAAATTGAAGAACCTTGGATTTGATCCTTCTCTCTTTGTGGGAGCAATCACTAGTGGAGAACTAACACATCAATACTTGCAAAGGTTGGAAATGTTGTCTGCTAAGCTCAAAGACTAGCACCCGTGCTTTCCCAATATGCGGTCTTCTCTTTAATAAAGTTGGGCTGTGTCATGAACAGGAGAGATGATGCTTGGTTTGCTGCACTGGGGAGGTCTTGCATTCACATGACGTGGAATGACCGGGGAGCAATATCTCTTGAGGTATGCATGGCTTTTCTTAGGATTCTTGTGCTGCAAGATATTTGTTCTTCATGTGTCCCACCTTCTTTCTCTCTTCATGCCCTCGTTTGACTTCTTTGATGACAGAGCCTTAAAGTGAATGAGACAGGGACAATACTTTTGGCAAGGTTATTGATACCAAGTTTCATCTTTAAAGAACATGATTTATTTCTCTCTTTTACAAATTTGACAACACTGTGAGGCTTGAAATAGCTGTCACCAAATAAAAGCAGAGTTTAGGGGATTGCCTGTGTGGTTTAACAAGAACTTAATATGACATGATTATTATGCCATCTTTCCTGTTTCACAAGGTCTGATTTCTAGATTAACCATACTTGTTCGTTACATGAGTTAAAATACCTAAATAGCATCGCATAGTAACTTCTCTTGTAATTTGATTCATTAGAGTCAAGGTAAAAAATCTGTTTTTCGGTTAATGTGGGCCATGCAATCAATTCTGTAATAGAAAGCATCCAATTCTTAAATGGTTTTAATACAAAATTTTATGTTCATGTTAACAGTTATTGGAAGAGCATTTTCCAGGAACTTGAGATGTGCAAATAACTTGCTTTCATATTTAAAATTTTTCATCATAGGGTCTAGGCTTACAAGTTGTAGAGAGTGTCGAAGAAGCTGAATTTATTTTGGCCCATGGTACTGAAGCTTTGGGGCTTTCTTCTGGAGCTGCACGTCCAATGAATCTTGAGGAATTTGACAAAATTTTGGAGCAATGTGCTGCTAAAGGAATACCCATGGTGGTTGCCAATCCAGATTATGTGACTGTTGAGGCCAGAGATTTACGTGTCATGCCTGGTAAAATATGTCAATTTTGGTTTCAATTTTAGTTTTTTTTGAAATCTGGATTAAACACCTCTGTTATGAACCTAATAAATGCTGCCTTGCATGGTAAGAGTGGGAGCATCTTAATTGTTCAGATTCTCCACTATGATTGTTGGACGATAATATTTGCTTTTACCAACTAATTTTGCTTATTTGTTAATTTTTTCGTGATTAAAAGAACTTTAAAATTTTTGGTTTAACAGAAAAAGTTTACTTCGATTTTTTCACCTCTCATAACTAACAAGTCAAGAAACTGCGTGATGGTTTCAAGAATTTTATATTGAAAATGAAAAAATCATTTCAACAAGGAAATCCAACTTTTTGCACTTTAAATATTACTTTCCAAGAAAGTTTCAGACAAAGGAATTTCGTATACTCGGTACTCAAGTTCACTATTTTGTGGAGAGTTGCTTTTCTTAATCTTAGGAATGTAATTCTCCAATAATCCAACAGTTCCTAACAGTTACAGTTTACCCATCCTTTCTAAAGTTTTAGATTTCTAGCCTGTTCAGCTATCTATTGGTCTGTCTTGTGTTATTTATTGCTCGCTAGAAGTGGTTGCTATCATACACTCTCTTGGGATGGCAACAGGACGGATTTGCCAATCTGGACCTGTCTTGCTAACACCTCTCCATCATATTTTTCCTCCCAGCTCAAGAAATAAATGTAACACCCAAGAAATTCCTCTTTATTTTTATAATTATTATTCTATCTTATTTTATTTTATTTTAATTTATTCTATATAAATATAAATAAGTATTAATAGAATTTAATTTAATTTAATAGAAATAATAATAATAATAATAATAAAAAGAGATAGAAATTATTTAGGGATTTAATTGAAAACAATTGTGGGAAAATGGGTGAAAATTTGGGTTTTGGGGGTATTTTTGAAAAAAAAATCGGAAACCGGGGGTCAAAATGCAATTTAAAAAAATTGCACTACGTCAGCTACCCGGTCAGCAGCCCTGGCCAACCAAGACGCGCCGCGTGGCAGAGACGTTGATGCGGGAGGCCACGCGGAAGGGAGCCACGTGGGCGATCCGCGTGCGCGCGATCGAACGGTTGAGATCCGTTCCCGGCGCATGGACGGCCCAAATTGAATCGCGATGAACCCAGATTCATTTCCTATTTAATTGTGATCGGACGGTTTAGATTAAATATGATGGACCGTTCAGATCAAAAGCGAATGGTTATAAATAATTTCATCCGCACCCAAACCCTAACCCTATCCGCCGGAGAAGACAGCCCAGCCGCCGAAGAGCCGACCGCCGCCACCCACCGCCATGCCGGAGAAATTTTCGGCCACCAAACGAGGTTGACCGGAGCAAAACACCTAACCGCGACGTGAGCTGGAGGAGCTGCCGCACCGGAGAGCCCCACCGCTGGTATCGTAAGCGCGTTTCAGTTCCCGGGAAAAAATTCAGGGAACCCAGGGACCGCCCATAGGCGCAGTGAAAATCTAGTTTTCGGCGTCAGATTAGATAAGAACCCCTCACTCTATTTCCTATCATGGAATTAAAGTTCGAATAAATGGTAATACTGTATTTTGTGCAATTAATAGATATGCATAATTAATTAAGGTTGCTAATGGAGCCCGAAATCGGACATTATTCCATGTCGATGCCTGCTTGATTTATTTTGTAGTTTAAATGCATTATGATATCTGGTTTATCTATTTTAT